ATATTTGTAAATAGTTCAAATAAAAACATAAAATTGATCAAAATTATTCGACTCATTTTTTTCTTCTTAACCTTAAATAATGTATTAAAACATTTATAATTTTGAATTATTGCTATATAATGAGAATTATAACAATTATTTGAGAGGCATTTAATGAAAAATCTGATATGTCCATCATCACATTAGTAAAAGTTAGTGTAAATTAATGGTGATATAGAAATATGACATGGCAAATTTTCTAAAATAAATAAAATATTTTGATTGGTTGAATCATAATTAGATAAATTATAAAATTATAAAATAAATACACTAAATTGTAACACTAAAAATAATAAATTTAATTTAATAGAAAATAATAATTACTACGATTTTGATTTGTTTTTACATATATTTATAATTGATTGCATAAAATATGATTAGAAAATTTTTACAACCAATATATATATATTATATTTTTATATAGAATAATAATAATAGATTATCCAATAGGATAGTATATACGCTATATATTAATGATGTTGGAAGTATGATATATTCTTATTTGAATATAATTTTTTTAATATTTTTATGTTGTTGTTTTCTGGAAGCTGTGTAGCTTACATTACCATCTCATTTGATCTCTTATCCTATTTTTAAATAAATAAAAGTTTATATCATACTCATATACAGTCTCATTGTAGATCGAGAATTTGAAATCAGAAATAAAACTCAATGTAACCAAATGAAAAAGTAAATTGTAAATAAGATAAAATAAATATGAATAAGAAGTAGAAGTAAAAATAAAAATAAATCTCTACAGTTTTTTTTCTGTAACGCTATTCTACTTTGTTTTATGAGTCAATTAAAAATCTAAAGAAATTAATTTTATAATAAACACATGTGTGGATTAAATTTTATAATAAACACATGTGTGCAGGCCAACTATAAGAAATTGATTTTTTTTTCATCAAACCGGTTCTTTAATATTGGACAAAGAGATGAGCGGAGAGCTACCAAATAATTTTATATAATATGATTTCTTAAATTTTATAACAAATATTTATTATAATTTTTATTGAAAAAGAAGATTACTAATAGATTATCCAATGTACTATATTATATTCATGATAAATTTAAATCTTATAATTTAACGTTTTTAGAGTTTTTGTAATTTTTGTTAATATTTATTATATTTTTTTAATTTGAAGCCATATATCATAAAACACTAAAAATAAGAAATTTTGATTAAATACAAACGATAGAAACGATTTTCGCGATTGTTGTTAAATGCCAAAAAACTGCATTGTATAAAAATATAAGGTTTGTGGAAAATATCAGAAAACTAACCAACACCTAAATATTACAATTCACTTATTTCTAACTCATATTTACCTGCATAAATATACATATTTATTTCTTTTTAAAATTTAACAATAACATTATAAAAAATATATATTACAAAACATATACTTTGTTATTTTCTTTTAATACATAAAAGCCATACTTTGATTTTTCTAAAAATATGCGTGTGATATAAATATTACTTATGCAAATGTCAAAGTCACATTCACACTTGTCGTGCATGCATTTTGTTAACCTCGATTACAGTCCAATTTTAATTTTAGTTATTAGACCATTTATATTTTTGTAAAAATCTCTATATGTTCTAAGAACGGTGATGTGGGTTGTACACATGAATGTGCGGGCTAACCATCTATCCGCTCTTAGGATAAGTAAAGATGATAACACCTATTTTTGTTTAATTAGCAATAGGTCAAAAAAATGTGTACTTAAAATATATATTCTGGCAAAATTATAATATATAAAGAGAAAAGAAAGCATAGCATAAGAAATTTATTATTATTTAATATAAATTTTACATTTGCAATTATATGTCAAGACACAAAATGATATGAAATGTTTGTGTGATTGTTGTTAAACACTAAACTGTATATGTATAAAAGCATAACATCTACATAATATATAAGAAAATTAATCAATATTTAAATATTACAACTAATTATGTCTATAAAACAAAATATACATGCACATGCGTGCATGTTAATCATAAAAATTAAATAAATTATTATATGTTTTAATGTTTTTCAGTTTATTTAGTTATCATATTTACACTTTTTATCTAAGGAAGTATTTTAAAATTCTGGTTAATTTTATTTATTTTCAATTTATATTGAAATCTCTAACATTTTTTATTTTATTTATCATTATTTTTTATTATTAAATGTTTATATAATATTATTATTGATACATAATTAATCATGTACAAATAAAACATATTCAATATACAATATTAATCATATATTTAATATATAAAATGTTTTATAGTCCATAATTGATGTGGGCCGATCACCTAGTGTATTCAAATATGATATAATTTTCTGCTTATTTGAAAATGAGATTTATTTAGTTTTAGCTCAACCAATCAAAACTTTTCATTTATTTTAGGAAATCTGTTATGTCTCATTTTCATATCAATATTAAAATGAGATAATTTTTGAAATAACCCACTTGATAATTTTATTACTAAATATAATCCTTCCTAAAATGACTCATAAGAGGGGTATACTAGTTCTATTAATCGGCCATTAATTTGCAATTAGTCCACCACTAGTCTGTCAGTACTCTACATTCAATTATTTGATAAATCAGTCTGCCAGTAGTCTGCATTCCATTTTTTGTTATTCTGTTATAAGTCTATAAATAACAGTAGTTAGAAAGGTAGCGCTGATATTTATAAAAATCATAAAATTAAGTTATTTTCGAAATTTTCTCTCAATGAATACCTATTTCATATTATTTTATCATCAAAATAAAGTAAACTATCTAGTGCCATTGAAGGAAAATTATGAAAATAAATAATTTTTACGATTTTTATAAATAGCAGTGCTATCTTTCTAACTAATGTTATTTGTAGACTAATAACAAATTAATGATTAGTAAAATAAAAATTAAAAGTTTTGATGGTTTGCAATTAGTCAATCGAAATGGTATTAGACTAAATCATCAAAACTTTTAATTTTATACACAATCTGCATTTATTAATACAACAGTTATATTTTACAACTACAATGAATAGAATAGTGTCACTTGTCAGGCCTCCAAGCTAGCACGTTATGATTTTATTTAGTTAGTCATGTTGATTACAAATGTAATAACATGTTAGTTAATGTACACTTGTAGTCTTGTAGACGGCCGACTCGGTCCTGTCATTCTTCAGACTCGGTCCCGTCACTAAAAACGGATTCTACAACTTTTTTTCAGTATCTTTTTAAGAATCTCACGATGAAATTTAATAGCAAGTAAAACAGATAAGTAGTATATATCTTATTATATACTCCACTAGAATTCACTAGTATTTGATTCATTTTCTTTAAGAACCTCACGATGAGATTTAATAGCAAGTAAAACACTCTCGATGAGATTTAATAGCAAGTAAAACAGATAAGTAGTACTGTCTAATTCACTAGAATTTGATACATGTAACATGATTTAAGATATGTAAGTTAATCGATTAATTTTAACGTGTCTAAAATATTGTTAAGCATGATTGAATTATGTGTCACTCAACTGAAATTTTAATACATATAAAGAGATATTTAAACAGTATTTTTTTTCTTTTTAAACAAAAATGTAGTTGGAATATAGATTAGTTAGATCAGATGATCCAGTGATGGGATGGATCAGTTCTGGTGCCTCTGTCCAGCTTTCATCTTCTTTTGGTTCGTTTCCGTCTTTTTTTTTTTTTGCTCCAAACTTGATTAAAATGATTTGATAATGGAGTAAAAGTTTCTAAAAACAGAAACCGCGGTAAAAACATATGTTAAAAATTGCTAACAATCGCATATCAAATTTATTTCATTATTCTATTTGCAATCTTCTAAGTTATAATGATACATACACTTTCTAAAAAATAAAAACTAAAAGTTATCAAATTTCTATTAGATCGGTAGAATTCTTCTATATAATAAGGTTGAAGTATCTCAAATTTACTATTTGTTGATTCAAAATTAATTTTTCCAAAACTTTGAAAAATATCTAATCTGATCTTTCTAGCTAGTTGAATTAGATCATATCCTCTTCATTTTTTAAATTGATGAATCGATTCCAAACTGATATTTGCATTTTGTTTACATTTCTATTTCAAACTGATATGTCAAATGAAATGAAGGCTAAACAATGGGACTAAATACACAAATAAATGGACGACGACGAGGTATAAAAACATGGCAAAGTTATCATCTTTTTTTTTTTCATTTCCAAATAACATAATACTTAGATTTCTCTAGTTGAAAAAAAAAGAATATCCATTTCTCCTTTTCTTGGGATGTTTATACGACTTTAATTTATACATCTCTAGGTCTGAAACCATAACATGTATATGGTTTTGTTCCAAGTGACACTCAATCTTGTGATTTTTAAGCTCTTCAGTTGAGGTAAGGACACTTGGTTACGATGCATGAAGTTTTTGTCTGTTAGGTTTCCGTTTTTTTTTTTCTTAAGTTTTCTTTAGTGTTTGTTTACTAATTATCTTTGATTTACGCGAAGTGCGTGCAGTTAAAATCTGACTTTTAGTCTAATGGAAAAATATAGTTGTATCTTTTTTTTTTGAACAAACAAAAAGGTATATCTTATTGTGACATAATATATCAATCAAATCTAAAACAAGTCTAAGTATGTATTACCAATAATAAGCCAATTTTTTACGTCAATAAGAATTAACATATATATTTTTTACGCGTATCTTTATGTGTCTGTAAAGTTTTTGAGTTAGAATTTGTCGTTAGAAATAAATTGTTAACATTGTCTGAAATAGTCTCCAAGAATAAATGATTGACTATATACAAGTTGTAGTCTTGAGGAAGAACGTGGTCGATCGAATTGGCTAGATATATATATATATATATATATATATATGATGTCTAATCATATGATATGTCGCAAACCGGTCGTATAACATCAATCTAAGTAAACAGCAAATTCCAAGAAAAAAAAAATTCACGATGGTGACAACTTTTTCCTCTTGTGAAGTCAAATTAGGACCAGAAGTGTTCATCAATTTCCGAGGAGATGAGCTGCGTAAAACCTTCATCTCCCATCTCCATAAAAGATTGAAAGGCGATGGGATCGATGCTTTTATAGACTCTGAAGAAGACGCAGGCCAAGAACTCACAAATTTTTTTAAAAGAATTGAGAAGTCGAAGATCGCTCTAGCGGTTTTATCCAGTAGGTACACGGAGTCACATTGGTGTTTGCAGGAGCTAGTTAAGATAATGGAATGCAGCATGAAAGGTGAAGGATGCAATAACAAGTTATTGGTCATTCCAATCTTGTACAAGCTAAACGTATCCACGGTGACAGAGCTTGATGGAGATTTCGGTCTTAAGCTGTGGAATCTCTGGAGGTTGCCCGGTCGCAATCGTCATCGAGACAACCGAATTGTTAAGTGGAGCGAGGCTTTGGAGGACGTTCTCAGCAGAAAGGCCTTGATATTTCCAGAAAACGGGTACGGATTTTTTATATACTCTTAGGGAATAGGTAGAAACGAAATGAAGGAAGACGAGCTAGCATGCTAGTCCTGTTATATAATTAATTTCTTAAGAGATATTATATACTCTTATCGTTAAATGATATTATTTGGCATTAGAAGTTAGAATAGCAAGAAGATATATACACCACAAGATTAGAAAAGTTTTATTTAAATTAAACTATAAGATAAGAAAAACTATATTTATATTCCATCTTTAAACATGATATGATAGCACATCTTACCAATCATGCACACAAGTCAAACAAAACAAATTAATCCATAAATTTTTTGTTTATATTAAGGTTATGATAAAACTTTTAATAAAGAAATATTAAGGTAAATGATGATTTATAAAAGGAAAAAAAGGCGAAGACTATATTTACATTTTCAATCATTTTGAGTTTACATATTTTTCAAAGTGGATGCATAAAAACGAAAAGTGTCGGTAATGAAATGCAGGCTTTGCAAGTTTAAGTAAGGGGGAATTTCCACGGAACCATAACCAAAATCTTTAACGATTTCCATACAAAATACTCTTTTCATAAATATATTTTCTGAAAGTTACAGAAACTAACTATCATACCCAAACAAACAGTCACATCGCGTTTCCATATAAGACGGACATATTAATTACTAGAATGATTGGATACATATTTACAAGTTTATGCGGATGATGTTTACAAGTTTTGTTTAAAAATTGAAAAGTATCGTTTGACCCAAAAGCACTACAGTGATTTTGTGTGCTTATTTGGGAGAAATTTTGGAAAACCCTCCCTGACCATTATTACTCTTTTTGTATTGCAGTAAGGAGGATGATTTCGTGTCCACGATCGTTACACATGTTAAGAATGCCCTAAGCAAAATTCAGCGGCAAAGAGTACAAAACCCTAAACCGCAAAAAGCGGATGGAGGAAACCCTAAGCCCCATAATTGTCTTAGCAGAGCATCAAACAACACTGAACCAGAGGAACAACGCCTGAAGCAATTGGAAGGAAAGTTGAACGTTGAGTGCAATGACAACGAAACTCGTATTGTCGGAGTCGTCGGGATGCCTGGAATCGGCAAAACCTATCTCGCCGAAAAACTCTTCGTCAACCTTAAGAGGAAGATCGACCATTGTGTGTTCATTAAGTTCGAGCGTGAGAAGTCTAAGGAGCAAGGATCAGAGTGGCTACAAAAGAGAGTCGTGGAAAATTTACTGTATCAAGATTATTTTGATCCAAGAACCACCGATAAGGATGCACCTCAGTATTGGAAGAACGGCCTAGCCCTAGTCAAAATCGTGGTTATCCTCGATAACGTGATTGACAAGGAACAGATCGACGTGTTTCGTGGGAATTGCGATTGGATTAAGAAGGGAAGCAAGATCGTCATCACGACACGGGATAAGTCATTGATCGAGGGACTAGTCTCTGATCTCTATGAGGTCCCTGGATTGAATGAGGGAGACGGCTTGGAGCTCTTTAGGGCTCAAATCTGTAGTAACCTCGAAGGAAAATTCATGGGGATGTCTAGAAAGTTTGTGGATTTTGCAGGAGGCTACCCATTAGCTCTCAGGGAATTTGGCGTGGAGCTCAAAGGGAAAGACGAAGATCAATGGGAAGAAAGACTTGGAACACTAACACAAATCTCCAATGTGGAGGTGGGAAATTTTTTGAAAGACATTTATGAAAATGATCTTGATGAAAAGCAGAGGGATGCATTTCTCGACATAGTCTGTTTTTTTAGATCACAGGATGAGAACTACATAAAAAGTTTACTGGATTCTATTGAACCTAACTCTACTGAAGCTGGGAGAGAAGTAAGAGATCTAGTAGACAAGTTCTTGATACATATCTCTGATGGTCGAATAGAGATGCATAATCTACTGTTTACAATGGGCAAGGAGCTTGTTGAAACTACTACAAGAAAATATTGGATGCTATCATCGAATTCTGCAGTGTCTATTGATGCGCTGAGAAACAAAGAGGTCAGTTAAATAAAACCTTGAAACTTTTTACATTTGCAGTGCTTGCCCTAACTTCTTGTGTTTCTTACTTGCTCAACAGGGAAGAGACGAGGTTAGAGGAGTTGTATTAGACATGTCTAAAATGGAGGAAATGCCTTTAAACAACCAAGCTTTTGTCGGTATGAGCAATCTTCGGTACCTGAAAGTGTACAATTCTCTCTGTCCTAATCACTCTGACGCAGCATGCAAATTAAACTTACCGAATGGAATTAAGTTTCCGAAAGATAACATTGTCCGTTATATTTACTGGATGAACTTCCTAGGGGAGGAATTTCCATCGGACTTTGAACCAAAAGATCTTATCGATCTTTGGTTGCCTTACAGCAAGATTATCCGTTTATGGGACTGTGCTAAGGTTTGTATTTTTCTCCTGACATCCTTTTATTAAAGGCTTTGCATAGTTTATTTTGTACTGATGGTATGGAATTTTTATTGGTCGTCACAGGATGCACCAAAACTGAAGTGGGTCAATCTAAGTCACTCCAGTAAGTTAACTTCCATTTCTGATCTATATGCCCCAAATCTTTTGAGACTAAACCTCGAAGGCTGCACGAGTTTGAAGGAGTTACCTCATGAGTTGCAAGAGATGAAGAATCTTGTTTTCCTGAACCTGAAAGGGTGCACAAGACTCTTGTATCTACCAAAGATCACTATGGTTTCTCTAAAGACTCTTATTCTCAGCGGCTGCTCAAATCTTCAGACATTTGAGGTGATTTCAGGAAGTCTAGAAACTCTGTACTTAAACGAAACTGCAATAGATGGACTTCCTCCAGCCATTGGCAATCTCCACAGACTTAACTTCTTGAATATGAAAGACTGCAAGAATCTTGTTACTCTTCCTGATTGTCTTGGGAAGCTGAAATCTCTTCAAGAACTCAAACTCTCTCGTTGTTCCAAGCTCAAGATTTTCCCCGAAATCATGGAAAATTTGCGGGTTTTACTGCTTGATGGCACATCAATAACAGAGATGCCAAGCAATATTATCAACTTATCCTTTGTGCAGCGGCTATGCTTAAGCAGGAATGATCAAATTTACAGCCTACAATTTGACATGGGTCACATGTTCCATCTAAAGTGGCTCGAGATGAAGTATTGTAAGAATCTCACATCTCTTCCAAGGCTTCCACCGAATCTTCAGTGCTTAAATGCACATGGATGTACTTCACTAAGAACAGTCACCAGCCCACTAGCCCTTTTGAAGCCGACCGAGCAGATTCATTCCACCTTCATTTTCACTAACTGCCATGAACTGGAACAAGTCTCAAAGAATGTTATCATATCTTATGTTCAGAAGAAAAGTGAGTTGATGTCAGATGATCGATATAATAAGGTATTAAAACTCATTTTTCTCAATTTCTCTATTATCTATCTCCAAACATCCACATCTGATGATTATAATTTGATTTTGCAGGATTTTGTTTTCAAGTCCTTGATCAGTACTTGCTTTCCGGGATGTGACATACCTGCATGGTTCAACCACCAAGGATTAGGATCAGTCTTAAAGCTGGAGCTTCCTCAAGATTGGAATGCAGGTAGATTTATCAGGATAGCTTTATCCGTTGTAGTCTCGTTTAAGGAGTACAAACACCAAAACAACACCCTCCAAGTGAAATGCACCTGTGATTTCACCAACGCATCCTTGAGCCCGGAAAGTTTTGTTGTTGGTGGTTGGTCCGAACCAGGGGATGAGCCACATACGGTTGAGTCGGATCATGTCTTCATTGCCTACACCACTTGGTCCAGTATCAAGAAACGTCAACAGTTGTCATCAGCGAATGAAGTTTCCCTTAGATTTGAAGTGACGAATGGTACAAGCGCGGTTGCAGAATGCGAGGTGATGAAGTCTGGCTTCTCTTTGGTTTATGAGCCTGAAGAAGCTGAGAACACATCTTGGGAGGGAACTTCAAGGATGGAGAAAAGAATCTCTTTTGCAGATGATGGTGATTTCCCCACAGATGCCAACTACGATGGTACGCCAACCACAGAGGACTCAAAGAAACCTAATTTCCTGATGAGATTATTTAGTGGATGAGCGCAATGATCTGGCCGCTAACCACAGCGAGCTATAAAAAGTTGAATAGTTTCCTCAGTTTTTGGAAAATAGGGCGATGATCTGCAAAATTTGTATGGCAGCGAAATGTTTTGCTACTCAGATTCCGAGTTTTCTTGGGTTTCAAGTTTGGAAAATGTGTCCAGACTAAACCAAATTTTTACTCCATCTCGAAAATGTTTCGTTTAATAAAAATATAGATATAATTAAACATAAATGATTTTACATGTTATACAACTTATTGATATACATCAATCTATGTTAATTACAATGATATACAGAAGTTGTTGTATGCACATGTTTTTTTTTTTTTTTTTTTGGTTTTTCCAAACTTGAATTTTAATTCGATATATACTGACGCATGCCATTAGCTTGATCTCGTTCAAGTTTAATCTTCAATAATTCAGTAGTGCGAGATCTTTTTTCTCTTGTGCCATATAACCCTTTAAGATTCAATTCTCTCTGTTTCCGTACAACATCAATACAACGTTTGACTATATTGCAACCACCAGAGAGAATAAGGAGACCTTGGAGATGTTGCTCTAGCAGATCGTGGTCGCGTGAGTTTGAAAAGCTTTGACTGATTTTCTGAAGCTGGCTAGCAAATCCGTGTAGTAGAACATGGTGTTTTCGATGTAAGTGTTCGGACAAGGATCTCATCACATAGTTATAGTCCAATCGGTAAGTAGGCAGAGACTTTGAGATGCGGTTGTAAAGGCCAAATCCTGGGTTCTTCCGGGAATAAGATCGAAATTCGTGTTCGGTGTACATGTCTCTTGCGGTCAGCATTATGGTATCTCTAGTGGCCTGAAAAAAAGTAAACCCAAAAGGAGAAAAGATAAGTGATTATCAAGACAATCTGTATTATTTTGGATACAATCATTGAGTTATTCAATCAATGATTTTAAAAACTTTAGGTAAAATCATGTGTTGTTTAATCAATAATATTCAAACAGAAATTGAAATTTGATTAGTGACTTTTAAATTCAAGTAAGATTTTTAAAGATTTAGTCATCAGTTTATTATTATTATTATTATTATTATTATTATTATTAGTACGTAATTAAAAGAAACAGATTTTTGGTGAACTTTTCATGTATTATCTTTTACTTTATCAAATACTATAAATTCGAATTGGTTTTATTTTGAAAACGTTTTGAAATGCATAATGAAACAAATTCTTCTTAGAGTCTTAAAAATATATTGAAAATAGCAAAAAATCATTTGAATTTGAAAATGTATTAAAAATGGACAATAAATGTGTAAGAGTGTGACATACCAGAACATCATTTGGATCTGATGGGAACTCCTTAATTTCTTGCGGCTCATCGTCTTCTTCATAGGGGCTAATCCGCACACATGTGTTTTTCGCAATGTCACAAGATACGTCATGGCCATTAGTAATGATTACTTCGCAAACATCATCAGGCAGTACCGGTTCCATTTCTACCATTGTCTTGCTCGCGTGTGAGCGAATGTCACGCGGGTTCCCATCATAACATTCAATCTCTTTCATTGACCAGGCCAAAAGATTCTTTTCTACAACATTTTTTCCAAAGGCAGACCTTGTGAATAGCTTCAGAGCATCTTCATCATCAAGACCTTTAAGCTCATACACCACATCCATCTCGCACTCCTTAAGAATTTGTTCGTTACTGGAGGTTATGATGATCAAGCTCCCTAGACCAAACTTGTCAAATCCACCAAGAAACGACTTTGCCTCACGAGCATTTCGCACGTCGTCTAGGGCAACAAGAACCCTTTTCTTGCGGTGGCTCGGCTCTAAATCAGAACTATTTAGGTCGAACTTTTCCATTGGAGTCTCGCTGAAGTATTCTGGATCCAAAGACTCACCGTTATATTTTGTGTGAAATTCTTTGATGAGGCAAGCCTCATCGTAACCACCAGACATATGGTTGAAGACGGTTGTAGCCAGAGTCGTCTTGCCAATGCCTGGCTTACCAAAAATGCCTAGAGTTCGGACGCCCCACGGTTGTTCGCATAGCAAGTTTTCTATTTCCTCTAGCCGCTTGTGGATCCCAATCCCTTCCGTTGGATAGAGCTTCTCAAACACATCCCTCGCGATTGCGTCCATGAATTCGGGTTCACTACAAAAAAAACAAAAAAGAATTTACTAAAATGATTCCCTGCACATAGCTTCGTTCACTATGTAAAAAGTACAGACGTATTGTTTTTTCTTTTAAATATATTAAATAAATTTCTCAAATAATTATTTTAAATAACTCAACATGTCAATGACCTTTTCCTTAAGGAATCCCTAACGTATAGAACTCAAATTAGGGGTGAAGTATATCAACTTGAATCCCTACCGAGTCTATATATATATATATATATATATAATTAACATGGATTAATTTACACCCGATACAACAATAATAATAACAAAAAAAGTTGATCCACGCCAATGCCATGCACATGATGGAAATATAAAGCTATTAGAGTATATGGCTCCGACGATTAATTTATAGGTGAATTTGCTAAAAAAATCATATGATGTGAAGTTTATTTGCAAAAATGGTGATAAATAAATGGGGGTGTAATATCGCACATTATTTTAGTAAAATTGAAGTTGTAACTCCTATATTCAAATACCTTTGTTTTTCAGTATATACGTGACCAGGTAATACTACTGAATCTAGTAAAATCTGTGGCCACATAGTCATCTGATCGAGCATGGATGATACCGTCCCTCCACGGAGGACAGGAACCACCACAAGGTCTTTCTTGTTGAGATTATTCACAAGATTTTCCGGCGCAGAGAACGTGTAGTTCTTGGAGAAAACCACCACGAGAGCCCTAATTTTCTCAGCGAATCGATCTCTCTGATCGTCCAGCTGATAAACCCCATGGCGGTTGAAAGTAGCTTTGAGGTAGTTGATGAAGGAGAAGATTAATGAATCGTTGTTGTCAAAACTGATATAAACGCAGTGATTAGCTTTGCCGTTGTTTTTGTTGTCAATGTCCATATATCTGAAACACCAAAAGGAATTAAGATTTCTCTGTTTTCAAAGTTGCCACCCGTTTTCGGTTGGAGCTGGAATGTACCCGCAGCTTTTTCATGCAGTTATATACAAAATGCTAAGCAACAGTAAATCATTAAAAATAATATGTTTGTTTACTAGGCTCATTTGCATGTTACTGTATAGAAGCTTCTCAAATATATATTAAAATGAGCCGCGAAATTTCGTGGAAGCTTCATCGGTTTACTTCCATTTGTAGTTTTGTACAGTTGACTGTTTCTGATTGGTTGAAACTGTATTGATCTAAACTTGGTTATGACAATCAGATTTATAAGCTAAAGAAACAATACATTATTATCCACTTGTCGATGTGGGACAAATATGATCTACTGAGTCTATATATATATTTTTTTATTTGTTTTAATTATTGAGATAATTACAGGAAAATGTATTTTAACCAAATTCTTTTCAGAAAAAGACACTTTCCCCAATTTGAGTACTTTGCTGGAATGAAAAGACGACTATGTCCTTATTTTATTTTTTCTGTAAGAATCTTTAATTTATTTTATGCATTGATGTAAAAAAATCAAAATGAACAAATCTGGCTTCCTCAATACGACGAACTCTAATAGCAAAAAGTCTCTGTTCATTTGTTTGATTTTGATTTGCGTTATATCGCAATAGAAGACTGTTGATTTGGATTCGCAGATGAAAACACTCGACACTGGATCTGAAGATTCGCCATGTCGGATCTGCATAACATCGGAAGCCAGAGCTATGGTTTTGGATCTGAAGATGAAAATGACAAATTTGGGAAATCAGGTACGGTTGAGTTTGATTTGTTGTTTGTAATCAATATTTTCATGAAGATACTTATAGTATTAAGTACTTAAAAGGGTTATTTTAGTGAGATGAAGAATTCAGATGGGTCTCTACGTTTATTATTTAGGTTCAGCCGCCGTAGAAGAGGCAAATCCGAGGCTGGACGAAAGCTCCATGAGATGCATCCACGAGCCCGTTCATGGACGATCCTTCAATATATATGAATATGGATGTCATAAACGGCCATCCATGAATTATCATAGATATATTTTAGTAGATGTACAAACTGTCATCCATGGATGAAAATGTGCGGCTGTTCCATGTTTATATTCCATCCATAAATTGTCATCCATGAATATATTTTTAGTGACCAAATTGATTGCATCCACAAACTTCCATCCATGGAAGAGTATACTTTGAATTGAAAAAGTTGATGTCGCATGGATGTATATATTTTATTACTGTGTGGATGGTGTTGTTTTCTGTTTGTAGAGTTGTAATAATTGTATTAAGTCATCTACAAGGGGTCATCCATATCAGGGTCTTGAAACGTCCTTGTACATGACTGTGTAACCCAATGTTCATGCATCCCACTAGTTTTCAATTGTGTTCTATTTGTAGGGATTAACCAAATGTGTATAAGTGGGAGGTATTCCTTGGATGTAACTGCGTGGACAGTGTTTATATTTTCATTTGTAGTGTTGTAATAATCTATAAGCGTGAGTATTTTAGTACGCATCCACAGTTGGTTATCCACCAAGAAACGTCCATAGTTGTTAAGCACATGGACAATGTTGTCGCTTGAATACTTAATTATGCATCCACAGTTGGTTATCCACCGACAAACATCCATAATTGTTAAGCGCATAGACAATGTTATCGCTTGAATACTTAAGTATGCATCCACAGTTGGTTATCCACCGACAAACGACCACAGTTGGTTACCACGTGAAAAGTGTTATCTTTCTGTTTGTAGAGTTGTAATTTTTTACAGGTGTGCATAATTTAGTATACATCCACAGTTGGTTATCCATGTACAGATATCCGTAAACAAATTTATCATGTCGTCCACTAGAGGTCATCCTTAAAGAAATTTGTTTAGGTGCAATTACTTAGGTCTGTATTCGTAACCACATTATGGCGTCCACAGGCATCCCGTTGTAGGTTGTTTTGCAAACCCATATACTGTAAATGTATCGTGTGATTCAATAAAATTGAGTTATCAAAAGTCATACTCTGGAATAGGCAATAATCGTGCAGATGGGTCGGAATTGCTCTCGGCGTAAGCTGCAATGGCTATGGAGGAGAAAGAGGCAGAGGAGAAAGAGGGGTCGGAGTTTAGGACACAGACGAGAAGAACAATGGTGTGTGAAGTACCACAATAAAAACCTACAGGCAAAGAGATCTTTTTACGGTGAACAAGATCGGACGGGATGGTATGTGAGCAGGTAAATTGATAAAAAGATGAGTGTGTGTTCAACATGAAAGAATGGGGTTGAAGGCGGCAGCTAGGTCTCGAAGGAGGGGGAGGCATTTTGTTTGTGTAATTTTTTAGTAACTGATTTTATTTATTCAGATGAAAAAATTAGTTGAAGGTAGTTTAGAGAAATTACATAGTGATAAACAAAGAAAACTTGAAGGAAAGTACTCCAGTTGAGAGAAGTACCTTTTTCCTATAATTATAGTTTGTAAAAATACTCTATTCTGTAATATTTTTTTTATTATTTATCGAAATCAATTACAAGTCAATTAATTAACACACGGGCCGAGTGCCGCATATTGAAGAATTAGGGCTGATATGTAATCCTAATATCAGAAAACCTCTTGGCTTTTGTCACTGGTATATGAACGGTTAATGTCGATTACGTTTTGATTCTCCAGTAAATGTTACATACGTAAAAACTTATTAATTATGAGAGTAGCAAGAAATGAATAGGCATTGATGAACATGAAAAAGCATGTAATCGATACGCTTGTGTAGTCCTTAATGAAAAAAATGGGATTTTGGAAGAATAGATTACAGATAACTTAGATCATGCGATAACTAGTTATCTTATACATTATTTGACAAACACATTTACTAAAAACAGCTGATGTGTCGCTTGCACAATAAAAGTTAGTGCAAAACAATGTCAACTCATAAATGTGATATGACAAATTTCCTAAAATAAACGAAATATTTTGATTGGTCAATTTAAAAATAAATAAACCTCATTTTTAAATAAGAAAAAATAGTTTATATCATATATGAATGAATTCTCACTATATAGCAAAAATTCAAAATAATAAATGAAACAAAAAATAAATAGACAGAAAAATAAATTATAAGTATCATCTTAGCTAAATTTTTTATTATAATATTATATATATGAATAAAAAGTATAAGTAAAAATAAAAATGAATATTTGTGACATTGGTTTTATGTAAAAATCTCAGGCTATATTTTTGATTTAAAGCATCTTTAACTCACCTTTATTTATTTGTTGACAAAAAAAACTCACCTTTATTTTAAATCTTCAAATTTAGAGGAAAAAGAAAAGTTGTTATTATTTTAATTTATAATTTCTTCCACAAATTAAGAGTTGTTCTGTTCCTATTTGATCTGTTTCATATATTATAAAAAATATATATTACAAAACATATACTTTGTTATTTTCTTTTAACACATGTCATACTTTGATATTTTTATAAATATGCATGTAGATTAAATATTAATTGTGCAAAAGTAAAACTCGCATTGAAACTTGTCATGGATATATTTTGTTAACCTTGACTACACTATAATTTTAATTTTAGTCGTTAGATAATTTATATTTAAAAAAAAATCTTTATATGTCTTAAGAGCGGTGAGGTGGTTGGTACACATGAATGTGCAAGCTAACTATCTACTCGCTCTTCGGATAAATAATTCTGGTAAAATTCATTTTAGTTTAATTAGAAAAAGGTCAAAGAAAAAGTATACTTAAAATATATATGTTCGCAAGATTATGTAAAGAGAAAAGAAAATATTATATAGATAATATTCAAAACATATTATAAGAATTTATTTATTATTTAATATAACTTTTACATTTGCAAATATATGTTACTGTAAACGCTAGAAAAAATAAAAAAATTTCAAAAGACACAAAAGATATGAAACTTTTGTGTGATTGTTGTTGAACACTAAAATCACTAAAATTGTATATGTATAAAAACATAACATATACATAATGTATAAAAAAAATTAATTAATACTTAAATATTACAATTAGTTATGTCATAAAAAATTATACTTGTAAATGCGTGTGGACCAAAAATAAAAATAAATAAATTATTATATATTTTGTTTTCCCGTTTATTTAGTTATCATATTTATATTTTTTATCCAAAAAATTATTATAAAATCTTAGTTAATATTTTTTATCTTCATTTTCTAATGAAATATATAATATTTTATCTTTAACTAATCGTTATTTTTTATTATTCGATCTTTATTATTTTATTATTAATAAGTAATTAATTATATATAAATAAAATATCTTTAATATTTTATTATAATTGAAGATATAAAATATTTTATAGTTTGCACATGATGTAAGCCGATCACCTATATGTAAAACTTAATTTTTAAAAATTGGTTGGATGTTAATAATTTGGGCTAGGCACTAGCTCGATATATTAGCGCCTGAAACATTACCATAATGAAATTTTGCATGTTTTTTTTTTTTTTGAGCATGAGTTTTGCATGTTGCATGTAAAGAGCTGGTAATTAGGTGAGGATGTGAGACTGAGTCCGTCCCTTCCTAAAATAAAACACTACAACCTTTTTAAAATTAAAAAAAAAAACAGATTCTCATGTTCCTAAAAAATCATAATAGATTATAGTAGTTTGTAATTTCCTAATCGACGAACATTTGACAAACGAAATTTCAGCGAACGCGTTAAGAAAATGTTAGATAAGATTGTACGCTAGAATTTGATATGATTGCTCCGATCAGAATCGGGGTATCAAATTCAATGCACGCTATGATATTCTATGCATGCAAATGGAATACGTCATTTGGGAAATCAAAATTTATTCTTTACAACGACCACATATATATATTAACTACCGCGTTTGGATTTTACAATGACAGCGCAAAACACTTATTATACTAACTGAACGATTGGTTGTATGTATACAAGAATTCGTGAGGACTAATAGTAATAAATGAAAAAACACAGAGATAAACCATAAAGTTGATTATATTTTTAATAAATATATCTATTAGAAAATGTGAAACATAATATTATAAGATTCGAAATCAGAAATCGGAAATTAAAAGAGACAACGAAGATCATAAATGATAAATGCAAATAATCAATACATAACTCATGAATGTGAACAAACATAAAACAAAACAGTATATTAATGATAAACCATGGAATCAGCAGCTGGTTGGGTGAGACTAAAACCTTAAACATATTTCCAGGTTCCTTAAAAATCATATACATCTTTGTAGTTTAGCCCTAACGAGGACATCACAACAAACGATATATAAAAACAAAGACTCTATTTGTTGGTTATATGTGATTTGTCTGATTGAATTGGTGCTTAATATATATAAAAGATACGAAACTGAAATGTTGAATGGCTCATACAAATATATAGTATAACAACGCGCGATTAGCTCAACTTAAAATAATCAGAAGGTTGTATCTGTTTAGTCAGACCAGTTTCTTTGAAACTACAATTCATATTTCATTAATTCGATTTTTGGCATTTTAACAAGCAAACATAAAAGATTGGTCTAAATATATGTGGGAAATTCCGGAAATTTTCGTACATAGTCTAATTCCATTAACTGGCCGCTAGTTTTCTAAAAACAAATTATATACTGAAAGTTTCACTTCTGTAGACAATTTGTAATATTTTATTTTCCAACTCATTTGATATTGTTATAGGGTCATTTGTTAAAATAGTCGTTTTGGCAATTTTATTGTGAAAATATAATCCCTCATAAGGAAAATTGTAGTAAGGGGATGTCTCATCAGTTTATCGTTAGTATGCTATTAATTTATATTTAATTTATCATTAATTTGCATTTAATATAATTTTAATTGTACAAATTAATTTGTCACTAGTTTAACATTAATCTGCATGACAAAGTAATCAAAAGGATAGTACTGATATTTATAAATGATAATTTTATTTTAAAAAGGCTTATATATCGTATTATTTTCTTAATATGAATCATTTTGGATCATTTCCTCATAGTTATATATACATACATGTTTGAGGCAATCGTTGAAGAAAAAACGCTAGCTTATCCTATCTACTATTCTCTTAAATGAAATTAGCTAATGTCCTAAATTAGTTAACCCCGATCAAAACCTGTTGAAATCCGGCTGATTAGGATAAACTGAAATTGGATTTTGAGTGATATACTATCATTTACCAACAAAAATGAATAAGAATAACACACTACTTTAAACATAAACACAACCAATAATTAATGCACACGGTTTTGTTTATGCTTAAAGTAGCGTTTTTCCTTATTCTGTTTTTCAAAAATATCACATATATGAGTATCTTTTATTTAAAAAGCCACCATTTGCTGTCATTTTCAAAACGTATCACTCTTGTATATGTTTCTACCTCATTCTAAAAAAAAAACCTATTGTGTTTTAAGACTGATAAAATGATATACACTTTATATCAGTGTATGAACTATTATGTTATTAAACAAATACATTATCTGTTATCAAAGTTACACAAACTTATACTGTAAAAAACAATATACTTCGTACAATACAGTGTCTTTCTAATTATTCTGACTCGGTTGGAACTTCTTTTCACTTCCCATCCGTTTCCTCGAAATGATTGAGACATTCAAATAATCTTTAGTAGAAAAAATAGTGGCAGTTGGGGGGGGGGGGGTTTATAACATAGTGCAGAGTCAAACAAAAATTATCTTGGCCATCAAAAACAAAAACATGACGATATTATACATAATATACGCAAATGAAATAAAAACTTTGTATGTTCCATTTGCGTTCATTCATTCATACATTTATACCATTCTAATTGATTCTTTTTTTTGTTCAAATTGATTCAAGGCTAGCAAAAGCTTTTTTATACATGTGTGTGTTGATATAAATCTTTCTGTATTGCTTCTACTTCATAGTGTATCTTGGACAGGACGATATACGTAAATGGCTAAAGAATCAACTATATATATAAGTTGTAAATTGTTTTGTAGAAATTATTCATCAAAAGTCATCTATCATTTAATTGATATAAATGAAGAGTACTGTTCAAATGTGCTTCTTGGTGCTAAAGGTAATATCGGGTTTCCAAGAAAAATTCCTCATTTGTAATTAAAAAAACCAAGTAAACAGAAAAGCGGTAGCGGCCTTTACCCTTAATATATAATAGCTCAACCAATACATACTCAGGTTTTAATTTATTGATCATGCAATGAATACCTATAGTTGGAGAGACAAATCTTTCGGACCCAGGACCATCGACTTGGATTTGTTCTCCTTATTTTGAGTATATATCTTACAAATACTAGCTAGAGTTTTGTTTACAATTGAAATGGATTTGATCGACTATGTGAGCCTTCTTGTTTTAGGCTTATATACAATCTTTTTTACTAAAGTTTTGTGTGTGTTACTGTTTGTAATAGGGTTTGTTCTTATTTATTAGTTATCTCCGTTTTCCTTGCATGGAGAGAGAGAGAGAGAGAGAGAGAGAGAGAGAGAGAGAGAGAGAGAGAGAGAGAGAGAGAGAGAGAGAGAGAGAGAGAGAGAGAGAGAGAGAGAGAGAGAGAGTTGTAGCTCTTGAAAATTTTCTTTGATCACACACATCTGCCAAAAATAGATTTATTTCTTCCTTTAAAGTCATTTTTTTTCTTCTGAGGGTAAAGTTTGAGATTTAGATCCCCAACACAGTTCCTAATTGTAAACGGTTGAAATAAGCTTTTGAATTCGTCCATTAGACAATAACTAAGGGGACCTTCAAAATTTATATTAAAAAAAAGACTTGAAAAAATGAGCTATATTATGTTATATTGACTTAGTCATATATTGAAGAAATCCAAACTATTTTTGTTTAGCGTATGGTTGGTCATCTATAATGTTCAGCCTCCAAAAAAATAGTATTTCTAGCCAAATTTGTTCTCGACTGATAAAATAATATAACCAGTACATTACCATCCCTTAAATTCTAATAAAATACGTTGTAATCCTGACGATTAACGCGGTCAGCTAAGATATATTTAAGATGATGTGAATGATATGATATTGTATTATTGGTAACCTATCATATTGCTTCTCCAAACAATTAATTGCAAACCCCGAAAGAACAAAAAAGTTGAGATGTCGACATCTTCATCTCGCAACGTCAAACCACAAGTGTTCATCAATTTCCGGGGAATCGAGCTGCGTAACACCTTTGTCGCCTTTCTCCATGGAGCCTTGCGCCGCAAGGGGATCAACGCTTTTATAGACAGTGACGAGCAACCAGGTGTGCCTCTTAAAGTTCTTTTCGAAAGGATTGAGAAGTCCACGGTGGCGCTGGCGATCTTATCGAGTAGGTACACGGAGTCACATTGGTGTTTGGATGAGTTGGTGAAGATAAGAGAGTGTGCGGATCGAAACACTCTACGGGTTATTCCAATCTTTTACATGTTGAATACATCCATTGTAAAGAATCTTGAGGGGGATTTCGGTCTTCAGCTATGGAATCTGTGGAGACAAGAAGATCATCGTTATAAACGAGATGACCGGATCCTTAAGTGGGATGCAGCTTTGCAGGACGCTGCGGGAAAGACGGCTTTGAGATATACTGAAAACAGGTAACCCAACGTAAATGCATGATGACGACTTAAATTTTGTTCAACGTAACATTTTTGAACGTTCACTTTTTTTTTTCCGGGAGGCTAGAAGAAACTAGGTTTATTATATTGGATTTAGTATGACGTTATAGGAAATAGAGTTTAGCTTTTAGAACTAGTGTTTAGGATTTAGTATGACGTTATAAGGAACTATATAGTTTAGCTTTTACATTTAGTGTTTAGAATTTTAGGATTGACGTATAGTTTTTAAGATTTATAATTTAGTCTATTTAGAATCTTAGATATTATATAGAAGAAGAAAAATTCAAAACTACATTAAGATATCAGTCGTTTTGAAATGATAATATATTAAAACTTGTTTCATATGGATTTATTTATCCTCAAAAAGTTTGTTTTCAAAAAGATTTATGGGTAAATTGTTATCAGGGGCGGATCTAGGACTATATTGTATTTGGGTGCACATAATTAACATAAATTTTATATTACTTACTTTGTAAACATGGGATCATTTATTTAAATAGTTAATTTGGTAATTTTATTGCAAAATATATATTTCTTAAAATAAGCCATAAAAGGGATTTATTACTGTATGCCGTTAGTCTGTTATATTAATTTGCATTTAGCTTACTGTAAGTTTACATCTTTCTGTTATATAATCACTCAATCTGACATTAGTGTGCATTTTGTTTACAAATAATCTACGTAAGATAGTAATTAAAAGAGCATGTGAATGACTGTTTATGATTTTTTAACATAAAAAAATTAAAACTATTTGTGTTATCGTTATGATATTTTGAGGAAGCAGTCTTTTTGTTTTTGTTTTTTAATGCTTAAATCACGTAACTTTGACTTTGCTTACATTTTTTGTTTAATTTTTGAACAAATTTTTCAATTAACTTTGCTTACATTGTTGCATGAGACTCATTGCGTTTCCCTCTCTGTGTCTCTAAAGCAACTTACTCGAGTTCGTGGATCAGATAACAAAACATGTTCAGAATATGCTCAGCAAAGACAAATTGCAGAGAGAAGAAAACCCAAAACCCCAAGGATCAGGAGGAGAAAACCCTAAACCCGAAGAAGGCTCTAACAGAGTTTCAAGAAGTATCAAACCCGGAGAACAAAATCTGAAGCAATTGAAAGAAAGGTTGGATGTAGACTGCAATGACGACGAAACTCGTATTGTTGGAGTTGTCGGGATGGTTGGAATCGGCAAAACTTATCTCGCCGAAAAACTTTTGGCCGAGCTTAAGACGAAGATTGGTCGTGACGTGTTTATTAAGTGCGGCAATGAGAAATCGAAGGAGCAAGAACTGGATGAGTTGCAGAAGAAAATTGTGGAAGGTTTATTGAAGGAGGATCATCCTAATTTGAGATCCGTTGATCGGAATGCACTTGAGGTTAGGAAGAGTTTCCTATTGGAGAAGAAAGTCGTGGTTGTTCTTGATGGCGTGGGAGACAAGAAACAGATCGATGCGGTTCTTCAAAACCAGGGGTGGATTAAGAATGGGAGCAGGATCGTAATCACCACACGGGACAAGTCACTGCTCAATGGATTGGCATGTGATATCTACGAGGTCCCTAAACTAAATGACAGAGACAGCTTTGAGCTTTTTAGAGCTCAAATATTTACTACTATTGAAGGAAGTTTCGTGGAGTTAGCTAGAAAGTTCGTGGATTATGCGGGAGGGAACCCATTAGCTCTCAAGGAATATGGTGGAGAGCTTAACGGGAATGACAAGGATCATTGGGAAAGAACACTTGGAACACTTACACAACGAGTCAGAGAGGAGTTGAGAAGCTGGTATGATGAACTAACCGAGCAGCAGAAGGATGCATTTCTTGATATAGCTTATTTCTTCAGATCAGAAGATGAGAACTACGTTAGAACTTTACTAGACTCTTTTGACCCCGAATTAAGAGATCTCGCAGACAAGTTCTTGATAAATGTATGTGATGGTCGAGTGGAGATGCATGATCTACTTTTTACAATGGTCAAGGAACTCGTTGAAGACACTTCAGGGAAATACAGGTTGTTGTCATCGAACAGTGCAGATTTTACTAGTGCTTTGAGAAATAAAGAGGTTAGATACAAAAATTTGAAACTTAAGTTTATTTTACGATCATTTGTTTAAATAGTATATTTGGCAAATTTACTATGAAAAATGGATATCTCATAGAAAAAAAAAATATAACAGAAATGCATTAAAGTCTGCCGTCAGTCTGATATTAATTTACGGTAAACTTAAGTTTATTTTACGATCATTTGTTTTAATAGCGCATTTGACATATTTAATAAGAATAATAGATCTCTCATAGGAAAAAATTATAACAGAGATACACTAATGTGTTTTCAATTAACTGTTAGTTTGACATTAATTTATTTCAAGTTTGCATTTAATCTACTTTTAGTTATATAATGAATTGATTTGTCATTAGTTTGTATTTAATCTATCATTAATCTACAATGAAATATAATTAAAAAGATAGCGCTAATATTATCAAAATATTTATTAAATAAATTTATTCTACAATTTTCGCTTACAATGGTTTATCTTTGAAATTATTTTATTATTTTAAATTATTTTGGGTCATTTCCTGTTTTCTTTTATCAAAAGACTTATTTGTAATTCTACTTGATCAACAGGGAAAGGAAAAGGTTAGAGGTATTATATTAGACATGTCTAAAAAGAAAGAAATGCCTTTAGACAACCAAGCCTTTGTGGGTATGAGCAGTCTACGGTACTTGAAAGTCTACAACTCTCTCTTTCCTAGGCACTCTGAAGCTGAGTGCAAGCTAAACTTACCAGATGAAATTGAGTTCCCAAAAGATAATATTGTCCGGTACATCGATTGGATGAAATTCTCAAGGAAAGAACTTCCATCAAACTTTGAACCCAAGAATCTTATTGATCTTAGGTTGCCTTATAGCAAGATTACTAGATTATGGAATTTTGTTAAGGTTTGTATTTTTCTCTAATCAATTTAAAACCATTTGTGTATTGATTTTGTGACTAATGATGTGGTTTTGTTTTGTTATAACAGATTACACCAAAACTGAAGTGGGTTGATCTGAGTCACTCGAGTAAGTTGAGTTCCTTGTCAGGATTATCAGAAGCACCAAATCTTTTGAGATTAAATCTCGAAGGCTGCACGAGTTTGAAGGACTTATCTGAGGAGATGCAAAAGATGAAGAATCTCGTTTTCCTAAACCTAAGAGGATGCACAAGTCTCTTGTCTCTTCCATCATTCACTATCCATTCTTTAAAGACTCTCATCCTCAGTGGTTGCTCAAGTCTAGAAAATTTTAAGGTGATTTCTGAAAATCTTGAAACTCTACACTTAAACAGCACTGCAATATGTGAACTTCCTTCAGATATTGATAAACTCCAAAGACTTATCTTATTAAATCTGAAAGACTGCAAGAATCTATCGACTCTACCTGATTCTCTTGGAAAGCTTAGATCTCTTCAAGAGCTCAAACTCTCTCGTTGTTCAAAGATCAAGATTTTTCCTAATGTTAAGGAGAAGGTGGAAAACTTGCGGCTTTTGATGCTTGATGAAACATCAATAACAGAGATGCCATGCAATAGTATCAACTTATATTTCCTACAAAGTCTATGCTTAAGCAGGAATGACAAACTATGCAGCCTACAGTTTGATATGAGCCATATGTTCCATCTAAAGTGGCTCGAGTTAAAGTATTGTAAGAATCTTACATCTCTTCCAAGTCTACCACCAAATCTCCAGTGCTTAAATGCATATGGCTGCACTTCACTAAAAACAGTGGCAAGTCCACTAGCCTCTCATATGCCAACAAAACAGATTCATTATTCCACATTCATTTTCACGAATTGTGATGAATTAGAACAAGTCGCAAGAAGTTCTATCATATCCTACGTCCAGAAGAAAAGCTCATTGATGTCAAACGATCAGTACAATCAGGTATTAATTCTATTTTTCTCAACCGAACTGTTATCTTTCTTTAAACATCCAAAGTCTATGAGTTTTCTTTAGGCATTATGTGATCATCTCCACTTATAATGCGGATATCCTAACGTAATAATGGCTCTTTTGGTCTGGGACCATAACTCCATTTCTTTTAATAACGGTCATATACACGTTTAGGCTTACTAGGCTTAATACTATGTGAAGATTAAAATATATATTTCTAACTCAAAACCAATTAGAAAGGTTAATATCTTTATATAGTAGCTTTGAATCATTTTTACTTCCAATATTGTCTTAACATATTACTTTGATTTGCAGGATTTTGTTTTCAAATCCTTGATCGGTACTTGCTTTCCTGGATGTGACTTACCTGCATGGTTCGACCACAAAGCATTTGGATCAGAATTAAACTTGGAGTTTCCTCGAGATTGGAATGAAGGCAAATTAAATGGAATAGCTCTATGTGTTGTAGTATCTTTTGGGGATTATAAAGACCAAAACAATGGTCTCCAAGTGAGATGCACCTGTGAGTTCAATAGTGTATCCTTGAGCCGGGAAAGCTTCATTATTGGTGGTTGGTCTGAACCTGGTGATGAGCCACAAACGATTGGGGCAGACCATGTCTTCATTGGTTACACCACCTTGTTCAACATCAAGAAACGTCAACAGTTTTCATCAGCTACTAAAGTTTGCCTTAGTTTTCAAGTGACAAATGGTACAAGTAAGGTCGCAGAATGCAAAGTGATGAAGTGTGGCGTCACGTTGGTTTATGAAGCCGACGAAGTTGTGAACACATCTTGTGAGGAAAACATTGATGCAACTCCAAGGATGGAGGACGGTCAACAAGGTCAAACAAGTGCTTATAAAGGTGCCCAAGATGATGAGGAAGATTGCATAGGTGAAGCCAATTCTGGTACAATTCCAAAAACAGAGGATTATAAAAAGGAGAAGGGAGTCCGCAAATTCTTTAGAAGAGTGCTCTAGATAATGAGCCTAACCGCGATGGAACTCGAGTAGATGGTGACAATCTTAACAGTGAGGCAACCAACTATGGAGAAGAAGCAGGAAAGTGAAATGATCACGTTTGTCACTAAGAGTTTTGCCTCAAGAGACTTGCGTATGTCAGTTTCAAGAGGAAGTGGAGCTAAGTTAAGAGGAAGCAGATGTCTTATTCTTCTTCTCACATAGTCATGTTGTGCTGATATTTTATGTTTTTATTAAGAAATTACATTGAGTTAATTGTGAGGCTTTACACAATTTCCTTTTTCCCATAGAGGACAGATTATTCTTTCAGAATATGGTCATGTCTTCAGATTATTAACTACACGAAAGGATGTGTTGCTACTTGCTACGGAGGCTTCACTTACTTTTTAAGTGACTGACGGGCAAATAAAAGTAGTTTGACATCCACGAAATCAAAACAGAGCAAGAGAAGAAACAAAAAGTAAGAGATTCACAATCCGAATAAACCAAAGGCAAACCAGCAGTATGATCTTCCTCTACTCATCCTGTCTTAGCATAGATAAAAAAATCGGAACAACGTTTTCACTTAGTTTCCCTAAATTATTCAGAATTTTATTTAGGAAGTTTACAATTTTGAGAGACTCAAAGGTATTCCAACATTTAAGTTTATAAAATTCTGTAATCTCAAAAGCTCTTTTTGTTATCCTTAAATTCCAGCGTTACTAACGTGGAGAACACCATTGATCCAGATTTGGTTTCTTTCAATCCACCTTCTAGATCCAGTCCTTTTATCTTCTTTTCAATCTCTGCACGATTGATTCTTGTGCAACCAGAGAGGTTCACAAGTTCAAGATTCTTTAGCCGGTCAGTGTCTGGGATGCTCTCCAAACTTGTGCAACCTTGAAGATCCATTTGCTCAAGATTACAGGCCTTCGAGAGTTCATCAACTTCATCTAGTTGATGAGAATGACTAAGATTTATTATCTTCAACTTCGCCAAACTCTGCCCCCCCCCCAAAAAAAAAACATACTATATCAATTAACGTAAGAGAAAAGAAAACAAATTTAGGTCTTCGGAATTTAGCCTTACCTTGGTTCCTTCCCAGAGTTTTTGAAGCTGGCTATTAGGCATATTGATTTCAACAATGTGGTTTGGATCAAATTCTTGGGGCAACAATCGCAACGGATAATTTTCCCAATGAAATAGCTTGAGCTCATAAGGCAAACATTTTAGTCCCTCAGGGAAATGGAGTTTTTGAGCAGCTTCAGAGCTTGAACTATAAATCTTCAACAGCCTAAGATTATACATATTCTCAAACGCCAAAGGATTAACATCAATGTTTATGTTGGTCGTGTCAAGAAATATTCCTTCAATAATTTCAGTTTCCTACAAAAAAATACACAAGATCAAGGTCAGACTGATGAAGAGGAATTGAATATTACGGATTGTGACTCAGTAAACACCTTAGGTTCGCTGTCTTCTAGTAATGACTTGATGCTTGACGGTTCCCACATTCTGCAACGACTTGCGGTCTGGCTAGTTTCTGTTCTGGCGATTTCTCGACCAACATCCTGAATCAAGTTATGCATCTCCACCTTTTTGTCCTCTGATATCGTCAATAGAGACTGGTCAACGAGACGGTCAATTCCAACGTGAGGGAAAAAACCACAACCTTCATGTATTCGCAAGATGTAGTCCAAATTTTCATCTTTAAAGAAACAAGCAATATCAAGAAAGATGCTCCTCTCGTGGTCGGTGAGCGTATCATAGCTGCTTTTGAACACATCAATGATCTCCTGTGGAGGATATCGCTTGATCTTTTCGAACTCAACTTCCATTTCTTCCAGCTTCGTCTTCCCGTTCAGCTCTTTGCCATAGGAGTAGAGAGCTGTACGATTTCCACTAGCATACTCAACGACCTTCTTTGAGATTTCCACTAGATTACTATCATCACTTGGTTCTTTTTCCGGAAACGCGAACCGGTTGAATAACTTGAGAGCTTCCTTCTTGTTTAAGGCTGGTACCTCGTAAAGACCCTCAACATGACACTGGTGAAGAACTTGTTTATCTCGGGATGTTATGATTATTAAACTTGCGAGACCAAAAAAATCAAATCCTCCAAGGAAAGACTCGGCTTCCATGGGATTGCGCACATCATCAAGAACAACAAGAACTGTTTTATCTCTTAGTTTGGCGATGGAATGCTCTTCCCGTAGTTTGTATAGTCCTTTCTCATGAAAAGTTACGTGGAAGTCTTCGAGGAAGCAATAAGCTTCAAAGTCTTGAGACATTAGGTTAAAGGCTGCTTGAGCGATGGTAGTCTTGCCTATGCCAGGCATACCCCATATCCCTAGCCGGTAGATGTCACCAGATTTCTTGCGAAGCAAGTTTTCAATACCGACGAACCTTTTGTAAAATCCGATCTTACCTGTTGGATACAGCTTCTCGCGCACATCTGCAACAATCTCTTCCACTAACTCCGAGTCACTGCAAGTTGTTAACACATGGATATATTCGTTATTTTATTCTCTTACATTTCTGTTAATATAGTAGTAGCTTATAAACATTAAAAATAAAGTTTATATCATATCAAGTAACCATGTATGCATACAAATGGATATGACCACAAAGATTACTTCAGCACTGTACTTAAAATTGTTGAAATTGTTCCAATATTTTAGGGAAAATTACAAATTTCCCACTCCTCTATATTTTTATCAATCACAGCATTTTAATTCGTCTGAATTTTTTTTTTTGTCAACTAATTCATTGAAGTCACGTTTCTATGATTTAAATTTGCCTTAATTTTAAAAACGAAATAAATATAAATCATTGATTAAAAAGAAACTCACAACAACTCCATGACTAGGACATAGTTTAATAGATAGTATGGTCACCGTCCAAATTTTCTTTACAAGTTCAATAAATGAATTCAAAATTTTTTTTTGTAAATTTACCGTGATTCCTTCACGAAGTTTAAATATATGTAACAGTAAACAGTAAATTAGGCCCGTTCTCAAAAAAAAAAACAGTAAACAGTAAATTAAATAATAATTTAATATACAAACTTACTTTCGTTGCTCATTTGACTTATGGCCTTGTAAGTTCGCCGCTTCAGTCAGACCGTTCCGCCATCTTGCTAGCAGTTCTTGGTTGGAGCATAAACTCAGTTGCTTGGAAAAAGCCTCTCCGATCTGTTGCTCAACGATCGATGGAGTGACATCACCATAGAAGACCGGAACCACCACGACCAGGCCGTCTTTACGCCGCTCCAAGAACTTCACGAGCGTTTCCAAGAAGAGCGGCGAGAACGCGTCGCTCTCAGAGAAAATCACCACAAAAACCTTAGCTCCCTCAATCGCCGACTGAGTCACATCTGGTAACCTAAAATCTATCTTCGACGTCACTGCTGCGCCGATGGTGTCTTCTCCGACGAACACGGAGAGATTACTCCGGCGGAAAGCGGCTGAGAGATGGCTGGCGAAGGAGTAGCGGATATCCTCCGAGCTGAAATCGATAAACACATCATGTTGATTCGCGCTTGAGGTCTCCATTGAATTTGTTCTATGCAGGTTCTCAAATCCTTTTTGGTCTGAAATTGCAATTCCCCTCACCCTCTCTGTCTCTGTCTAACGTGCAACTACTTCTCGGTTTGACTATGAAAATTGTATTTTGTTTTTAACGAAATATATGTATTATAAAAACAATAGAGTACCTAATGTAGTTTTGGCACTTGTTTGTAAAGTAACATGGTGACAAAAATCGTAAATGTACGTGTTGATTTTGCGCAAAATAACATACTACATGCTATTTTAACTGGATATATATTATTTAACTGGATATATATAACATGCTATTTTATAAAAGATCACGTTATTTAATTAATTACAATATGTTCACTGTATCATTTTTGTAAAACTGTCAAAATTAGATTATCTACCTAGTTTTCTTTTAATTATAATCCATTTAAAAATTTTAATTTATGACTTTTTTGGAAAAGTTCTACCAGCTTCAGTGGTGGAACACATGGCGCTGGAAAAACGGCAAAAAAAAACTGAAATTGTGTCAATCATGAAATATATGATTTCTACAAAAAGAAACCCTGCAAATGCTAACTTACTGGTGGTGTATCTCTGAACTCGCAACAGCTTTTTTGGAGTATTACCAATTTATCGATGTTTCTCAGAATTTTTTTTGAAAAAATGTTTCTCCGAATTTACATATCTCCTTTATGGGGAACGTCTTCAACACTCAGCATTGATGGCATTTTAAGTTGTTAGTGTTGTTCGCTCCTCTTTAATGGCAGAAAAATTTGATATCATTTTCAAAACAATCATCTCAAAAGAAGCTTCCAGTTTTTTGTATATAATTAAACTGTTTAATCTATTCTTTATTTGCTTTGCATTTCATTTTAGTAACAATTAGTTGTTACTTTTTGGTATAAAGTTTTCTTTAGATCTGACTCGTATATCAGATGAATAATAGAATAATTGAAAAATAGTTAGTGGAATGAACTGAACTGAATAATATTTTGACTGAATAATTATGAAACATTGAAAATCTATTTTTGGTAGATTAACCATGTTTTATTTTTTTCTAATTATTTTTTAAGACGCTAGTGGAATCACGTTTTAAAAACATGAAAACGTGAAATGTAAAAACGAAATAAATAACATAAATGATAAAAAATAACAAAATCAAGTTTTCAAAACGTGAAAACGTAAAAAAGCTGTATACCGTTCAAACTTAAACTTGCTGCTCCTTCTCCTTCTGTATGTTAACTTTAAGTTTAATATAATCAGAATTTAACCCCCCAAAAAAGATAAGTTTGTGTATGTTTTATTTTAAGCTTATAATAAACAAACAAGTAAAAAAAGTTAATCGAAACATAAATCTACAGGTTATATTACTACGACTTTTTATTACCTGTCTTTTATTGTAAGCTGAAAATAAAACGTACGCAAAATTGTCATTTGCAGGGTTATATGGGATAACTTATCGATAACGTTGGAACTAAATCAATACTTAACTTTCTTTATCCAAAAAGAAAAAGAAAGTAGCAAAAAAAGATGGAAAAACCAATAGTTAGTTACGTTTTAAAAAAAAAAAAATCTGCAATTATTAAACATGTGCATGACCAATTTTCAAATCTGGTGCGAACGACCTCGTAAGAAATAAAAGTCGTGGCAGACCTGGTCGTTTTTTTATATATTTTTGGTCCACATTGAGGAAATTGTATATTGTGTTGCAGTCGATCTGGTCATTCTATAATATTATTTTTTGATAATCGATCTGGTCATTCTATATTATTATTTTTTGGTAATCGATCTTGTCATTGTTTAGAATTTTTGTTTAATGGATTTCTGCATTGTATACTTTTTTGGATATATAATTTTTTTTGAACATTACTTTTTTGGATAATTGACCTGGTCAGTTGTGTATACTTTTCTTTGGTAATCGATATGTTGATTGTTTACTTCTTTTTCTTTGGGTAATCGTCTGATCATTGTACTCTTTATGATTGTTTAACAATCGATCTCTATTGGATAGTTCTTAATAGTAATCGATCTAGTCATTATATAATACCATACGACAATGTTTAGTACATACTAATAGTTTGCTTGTAGATGATTTTATATTTACTAGTTTAAGTAATTGTCAGTTGCTGACACTATTATATAATTAATCATTGGTTGTCGTTTCTGGAAAGTCGTAGACAGTCTGGATAATCACTACGATCAACTAAAACATGGTCTCACGTGATTATCTCACCAACCTTCAACTAAAAGTTGATTGGTTAGCATATTTACAGTTGACCATCTTGGATTTTACCCTTTACCATATATAAAGTTTTTTTAGTGACTTCGCAATTAATAGCATAGATATGTAATTTTTCTTTTGAAACTGTTCATCACATTACAACGTATTATTATTTTTATGTAGATCACACGTATATTTAACAAACAACAAATTATTTAAACGTATATTGTGTTATATGTATTTTGTTGTTGTTGTTATTTATCAGTTCAGTTAACCACACTTTGACACAGCATGCTATTTATGGATATCACACTTATAATAAACAAATAAATATAATATGTTATTTTAATATATAATATATTTGTTTAAACGTTTGAATACCATGATACTGCACGCAATTTCTTTTTCTTTTGGGGTATTTAATTAGCTAATTAATCACATTTTGACACAGTAACGTGTTGTGTATTTTTGGTCGTTGTTTTCGTATCTTTTAATTGCATACCTAGTCTTGTTCACATCGATGTTAGTTTGCTAGAGTTGAAGCAAGCTTTCAGGCAAAAAATAATGGAAGCTTTCAGACAAAAAGAATGCAAGCTTTCAAACAAAATTAGGATAAACAACTTAAATCACCCTATTTATAGACAAATCAAATCACCCTATCTACTTTGCACTTACAGTACTGGACTAAGAACTTGAACTATCTCATAACACCCTGTTTAGATATGGATATCACACGCATACAAAAAATATAACATGTAATTTAAACATACACTAGAATATATGTTTACACGCTTAACTTAAATAACATAGTTTGTTAATAATACACAAAAACAGTGGACCAATGTCGAACTTATGCGCCAGTTAACTAAAGTCCTCTCAAATACGACGATGTTGGGACGAAAATACAAATCTACGTAAAATCATCTCAAATTAGCCACGATATAATATAATCCGACGCAAGTAAGAAAGGTATGACGTTTTTAGTAATCAATAAATATAGTGTTCAAAAATGACTCATAATAAAAAAAAAATATCCACAGAGGAAAAAATTGTAAAAATAGTTTAAAAAAAAATTATTATATAAATATCAGTGTTATCTTTCTAACTATGTTTACATGTAGAAACTAATGATATACAGACTGATTCAACATATAATTAAAGATACTCTAAAATGGCATATTTATTCTGGAATCTCTCAAATCATGAGGATATGAAGGTATACCCTTGGATATTGTGGTATATCTGGAAAATGAGGAATGATAAAATTTTCAAAAATATAGACCGAGACCCACGAGAGGTTGTCAAGATTGCAATGGCAGAAGCATATGCATGGGATATGGTGCAGGCGGAGGACATAGAAGTACCCGTTCCACAAAGTACACAATGCGTGAGACATGTCAGGAATGAGATTATTTGCTATATGGATGGATCGTGGAAACATGATGTTACAAGTACAGGATTAGGATGGTACAATGAAGGTGCAGATCCTATGAGCACGTTAATGGGGGCTCGTAAGATAGGCAGGAGTTTAACACCATTGCACACTGAGTTGGAGGCACTGATCTGGGCAATGCACTGCATGCTTGATGCTGGGAGATATGCAGTGACGTTTCTAACTAATAGCTCAGAGTTATTGGAGATGGTGTCCAAACCAGATCAATGGCCGGCATTCACATTGCATTTGGAAGAATATGAAGTAACTAGAAGGGAGTTTAATCTTTTCTCTATTTCAAAGATTCCTCGCGCGCAGAACACGAAGGCGGACAAGTTAGCACAGAGTGCTCGAGACCATCTTTATCATCTATATTATATTCACTCATCTCCTCCAGATTGGATAACACCATTCTAGATTTTATGAGGCTGTTGACAAAAAAAAAATTGAAGAATTTTTCATTACTAATTGATGTTTTTCTTTAATAATCAAAGCAGATTTAAAATTTATTTTAATAATAACGGAAATTATCTTTCTTTTTTACAGTAACGAAAATTATCTAAAATCATATATCATTTACTAGATTAGGTTTCGTATGAATACATATAAAAGATGGGAGAATTGCAAAAATGATTCAAAAATTGAAGTCAATTATAAATGTAACCCGTAAAACTTTTCCTTTCAACATTAGCTATTTTTTGTCTAAACAATCTTTCTCAGTTCCAATTATTTACGAAATTGTCATTACTTCAAATTAATTTCTTTTATTTTCGGATATCCAATTGACCAAATATCCTCATCTTCCTTACTTATTTAAGAAAATGTCATCATCATCAATTCACTCAACCACCATTTTCAACCAATATCAAGCTTTAATTGCACCAAAAATCTATTACTGAGTCTAGATAGCTCATTATCTCTCTCATAAGCTTTTATTCTTCTATTTTCTCTCTATTTTCTTCCCAAAAACTCCATAATTTAGCCATTAAAAATTTGAAGTTCTTAGATATTTCTATTTGTGGCGAGTTGGTCGTTTATTAAGATTGGGTTTCTTTAATGGTGGTTAGAATCAAAGATCTCGGCTAGAAAAGAAGCTAAAGACGAGTGGTAAGTCAAATTTTCAGTCGATTTTAGTGTTTTTCATATCTGGGCAGCGGAAGTAGACTTCTTCTGACCACTGTGAAGTCTACTAGTCAACGCTCAGGTTAGTTTTACAATTGACCGCGTGAGCAAAGTAGACTTCTTTTGATTCGAATGAAGTCTGCGCCATTTCCTTTGAGAACCAAAAAAATGGCGCAAACTTCTCGAGCAGACTTCTTTAGAGACATGTCATTTTTGCAATTGACCAACCTTTGACTTTTCGAAGTACACTTCTTCAAGAAAAGTAGACTTTTCTAAGAAGTCTACTTTTGGAATAGACTTCTCACAAGTCATTTTGCAATTGACCAATCTTTAACTTTTTTTATCAATTGCAAAAATGACCTGCGAGAAGTCTTCTTTTTGGAGTACACTTCTCGGAGAAGTCTACTTTTTGTAGTAGACTTATCCACATGTCATTTTTGCAATTGACTAAAAAGTCAAACATTCAATTGCAAAAATGACCTGTGAGAAGTCTACTTTTCGGAGTAGACTTCTTGGAGAGAAAGACAAAGTTTACTCCAAAAAGACAAAGTTTGGTCAGTTGCAAAAATGACCTGTGATAAGTTTACTCCAAAAGTAGATTTCTTGGAGACGTCTATTTTTCTTGGAGAAGTCTACTACATTTTGGCAATTGCAAAACTAACATGTCTAATGTCTAGTTTTCTTGATGAAGTCTACTTTTCTTATTTTTTGAAAAATGCATTTTTATCAAATATATAACAATTTTTTAAGATTTTCATGATCCTAAGTTTGTGTTAGTAAGTGTTCTTTCCTAGTATAAGTTTTATATGTTTATATTTTATAGATATAGTCGAATCAGTTTTTATGTTTTATAACATACTTAGATTATTGATCGCGGACTTCTCCAAGAAGTCTACTACGAAGTCTACTAAGTAGACTTCATTTGACTTTTAGAGAAGTCTACTTATTCAATTTTAATT